ATAAAGGTGAGTGTTCAGAGATGGATGAACGCAGCTATAATGGATGATTGGGTTTTTTAAATGTAATTTTTAACGAGCAGGTTGCACCTGAAATAACTTTTTTATTGCTTTTTGAACAGCTGTTTGCAAATGTTTTAAATTCCACACATTATATGAATGAGCTGAGTTTCTTTTGGTGCATCATGCATGTGTTTGTCTTCTTTCCAGCAGCATTGGAGAATCCAGACACTGACATTGGCTTGTGTGGTTGGCTGTTGGTCGCGTTTTCCATTCTTCTCATGCTGGCTACTCTACCCGTCTCCATATGGATGTGCATTAAGGTCAGCTAATGGTGAAGTAGAGTATGTTACAGAGGATGGCAACTCTGTTTGCCTAGGCTGTTGCACTGCAGCTCATCCCCTATTATATGTGTATTTATGTTAAACAGCCCTAATTAAATCGCTGGTGAACCTTTGCTTTGCATTTACTTAATTAAAAAAGTATCTCAGTGAAGTAAAAGTTAGTATACCACAGGCATAATCCAGTTACATCTGTAGACTGTCCAAACAAGATAAGGAAGAACTCATGATCCGAGAGCCATTCATCGGGGTAATTGTACTACATGAACAGCAGATTGTGAAGGAGTACGAGCGAGCCATAATCTTATCGCCTGGGCGCATTCCTCTTGCGAGGGGTACCAAAGGACCAGGGTCAGAAACATTTCTTATCCTCGTGCATATAATAACAGTATATATTGTCTTCTCCATCCACATCCTCCAGTTCTTTTATTAAAATGTACTTCAAACATGGTCCAGTGTCTGTTATGTCCCCTGGATTAACTTCCAGTCATCTTCATCCTCTTAGTTCCAGACATGTTTACTTGTGTTTGACATCTGTTTATTGTTTTGTTTATGATCCTATTAAAACCACATTAAAAGCACATGTATGTGCCTCTGGTCTTCCTGGAGTCCTGAACATCAAAATACCGTACAAACATACAATAAGATAATGCAAACAACCTAAAATAGTCTACTACTGTATAATACTGTTTCAACATTTGTTTACAAGTCCCACTTGTTACCCTAGGCAGTAGGACCCTAAACAAACCGTGCTGCAATTTGGTTCAGAGGCTGGGAGATACTGTAGATTGTGTGATTATAAGACTTGAACATCTGGCTTTTTTTATGCTCTCATCACAGAGGAAGAACTTTCTAACACTAGAACATCTATGGGGCCAGTTGTTTCGCAACTTCTGGTTTAGGTTATTTTGTTTCCTTGAATGTAAAGTGTGTCTGTAAAGGTTTCCTCTCTCCTCTTATGTGGTAAACGTTTGTGTTTGTGTGATGGAAACATTTGGAGGAGGGCTGAGTAATATCAGGGGTGGCTTATTGTACTTTCCCAACCATCCCCTTCCTGTTGGTGGGCGGAAAGATCAATGGAAATCAGTTGTATAAATTAAAAACGGAAAAAATATCAAGACCAAATAATAACAGTGAGAGGATGTCCCACCTCAAAGCTCAACCAAATGGCATGCTACTACATAGATGAGTTCACTGCAACACCACTTATATGGGCTCCCAGTAACAGCTATATGTCTGACAGTGCTGCTGCATATGTGTCTATTTGATGTCTGAATGCCTTATTCATTCTATTCTCAGTGATGTGACTCTTGTTTTGAAAGGCGCCGTGTTTGTTTAAGTAAAAAACACAGACTCCCACGAGGAATAATTTGCATACATCTCATAACTCACCGTCTCTTTATCTTTGATTTCTTGTTTTATGGGATCTAAAAACCAGACAGTGTCCTCTCAAAATGCTGAAATGTGACTCCTCAGAGTGCCAGGGGACCCTCATTGTGACAGTGTCGGATAATAATAGCTCTCTGCCAGCAAACTTTACATCGCTGAGTAGCTGAAGGAGCACATGCCAAAGTTGAATTTAGCATTTGGTTTCCCATAATGCTCCTTACCCTCACGCCCTCTCCTTCTACAACAGCTCTTATAAGACTTAAAATATTTCCCTGTATATTTAATTTGAAACAGGCTTGTGGGGATAATTTTTCATAAATTGAAATGGGTGTGTTGTGGAAAATGTTGCTGTTTATCTGATACATTTCTCTTCTGCAATGAACAGAGATGTTTATTCATGAACAAAGCCTTTAACAGGATGCTTATCAGTGGAATTTTCCACTGCTTCACAAAAACGGTTTACAGAGTCTCTGGGAGCAACCAAGGCCTCTTTACTCGGCTGACAGGAACTATAATTGTTGAGAATGCTGGAAATGTCGTGATGAAAACCGCATGTTGACTTAATTTCCCCTCCTGAACAGATGGTTGTGCTCTCACCATTTAAATACACAATATCCAGACAGGAAATGCAGCCCACTAGTCTCTAACCGCCGTGGCATTAATGTTTGCTAAATGATTGCACACCTAGCACATGTCTGTTTCACTCAGGCACATGCCTAGTATTGTTTAATGCACTAATTCAATCATTGTGACTTGAAACGGTCTTATGAAAGCTGCAAATATCCCCAGCTTTGCCTCGCTGTCAGCACAGCTGCAGTCTTATAAAGGGAGCTTGACTTGGCCTCCTGCCCAAATTTCATTCATCCCGGTGTTTTCAAACATTTGTGAAGAAGCGTCCTCATTATTGTGTTTACAGCGGCTTTAGTCTTTGTTAAAACTATTTGCATTCTTGTGATTCCACAGGGCTGTTCTTCATCTTGCCGTGCACTGACAGCTTTATTAATGTGGACATGCGCACCATCACCTTCGACATCCCACCGCAAGAGGTATGACATGCACACTTCCAATTACATTAAACAAACACTTTGTCACATTCACGGAAATTCAAAGGACGTCAAAGTACTCGTGCAGATTCTCGATGCAGTCTTTGGCAAATGGAACCACACAAGTCTTTTTTAGCAGTTTCATATCACTTAACAATTTCTACCTTTTTGTATCCTAACATGTGTGTTCATTCACTGTCCTCCTCCCAGGTATTGACCAAAGACTCTGTGACAGTGAGTGTTGACGGTGTGGTGTACTACCGGGTCCAGAATGCGACACTGGCTGTGGCTAACATCACTAATGCAGATGCTGCTACCCGGCTGCTGGCCCAGACCACCCTGAGGAACGTCCTGGGTACCAAGAACCTGGCAGAGATCCTGTCCGACCGGGAAGAAATTGCACACAGCATGCAGGTAGAGAAGAGTAGCCTTTATACACACTTCTAGCTGGCAGTGTGATCCAAAACAACATGCTAGCACTATTGGTCTTCCCACAGTTAACAGTCTGTAACATACTCCTACTGACCTATCAGTAAAGTAAGCTAATAAATAAAAATGCGTAATTGGGGTTGGCAGAATGACCAACGGAGGTAAAGCTGACACCAGAAACAAGTGGAGCAATGTCAGCTGTACCAGACACAACTGTTTGAGATGCCCTCTCTGACCGCTGACAGACCCACACACTTTTACTGTATGTGTCAGTCACAGCTCACTATGTCTCAGACTCGCGCATTACGCCGTATGGGTTGCAGTCCAATGAATCTGAATGAATCTGTGACAGACCGACATGTCTTTTGTGGTAGATCTACATCTTTCCACAGCTGTCTCCTCTTGTGTGTGGTGTGACCCTGTGACATTTATCACACCCACATTCAGTTTCCACTTTGTGCTGCTTGCTGTTTTTCCTCCAGTAGATGAAACAACTGTGTGTGATATCAAAAGTGTGTCTCATGCTGACAGACTCAGGAAATGGTCACCCAACTCTGCAATTCCCCTCAACTCTCCATAGCCTTGTATCCTCCTTAAGCTAATTGTTTTCATTCTCTTGCCTGCAAACTCTGTCTCTTACGTGACATTTGTAAAAGGCTTTGATGTCAGTTCTTCTACAGTTGAGTTGTCATATCAATATGTTGACATTCCTTCACTGTTGCAAAATTCCCGCGATTGTTAGAAAAGTCAATTTTGTAAATATAACTTATAACTGAAAGGCTGGACCCCTGAAGTAATGCACACTAAGGCTGTACGCAGGAAAAACCTATTGTGTAGTCAGTAAAAATAAATGTAGGCAATAATACGAAGCTCCAATAACACAGACTGACTCATAAAGAAAACAGAATGGTGGATTACAGTGCCACCTTGCTTGGAGCCAGGTTTGCCTAAACTCAAAGTTAAACTAACAAACTGCAGTTAGAGTGTGCATCAGATGTAAACTAAGAAAACCTTAGGTAATCCTGTGTTTCATGTACAGCACAGCTGTCAGTTTGCCTTTCAGTTCAATTATTTATTTATTCATTAAAGTTTAACTTCCAGTTTATGCTGAGCGTCTCTAAATGATTAAACAACACAGTCAGAAGGTTTGTCAGCAATCAGTCTGTACTTCATTAATGTCAAATATACTCTATGTGTTCAGTATTACAGTACACTAATTGTTTTCACACTCATGTGGGTAAAGGTGGAGACACTATGTGTCAAATGGGGTTTTCTTTCGCATTTACAGTTCATTTTCTAAAAGGTCACTATCCCCACTGAAAAAAATAGAAAACAGAATTGAAAAATTGTTCCATTGCAGCCCAGAGCATAGCCCCGGACGTTTAATTTTTGTTTTCACAGTAGGAGGCTTTGTCTGATTTGATTAAATACAACAAGAACAAAGCTCCCCTCTCCAACACAACCACTGTGCTCCGTAAAGAGAACAATCTGTTTTTAAGGCTCCTACTATGTAGGTGTTGATCTGAAGACACCCTGCATGAAATACTTAATGCATAAGAGTGAAAATAAACTGCATCATCCGCTTCTTGCTCATCATTAAGTACTTGTTAATCCAAAGCATCATAATTGTACGTGTAAGATGAGTAAGAGTACTATTATGCTGCTAGTGTCATGTCATTTTAGGATTGTGTGTTATGGTGTCAGTATGCTTTATAGGTATCTGCCATCATCCATATTTTATTAACCCTTATTTTCTACCTTTACGCCAGCTGTGCTCTCGATGTAATTTCTTTCCATTAGAGAGGAACATGCACCCAGATTGAGCTCCATCTGCTGGACGATTTTGAAAAATGTCAGATAGTTTGTTTTTGAAGAGGAGGGGTTAGTACTTGGTCTTTGTCTTCCTTCTTCCTGGAGTTACCTTCACTTTATGAAATCTTAGTTAGAAAACCTGGGCTTCCAGCTAGAAATGTGCTTGTGTCAATTGACTCTGGAAACTGTGGAAAAATATTGAACGCTTGTCTCTCCGTCTTCTTAGTCCACTCTGGACGATGCTACAGATGACTGGGGGATCAAGGTGGAGCGGGTGGAGATCAAAGACGTCAAGCTGCCCCATCAGCTCCAGAGAGCCATGGCCGCTGAGGCCGAGGCCACCCGCGAGGCCAGAGCCAAGGTAAGGCTGTAGCAGATCCCCTCCCCTGAGCCCATTCACATTTTTACATTTGGAAAACATTGCATTGTAGGATTTATGTAATTTTTAACCCAGCGTATCGGTGTAATGCTGCTAAATAATAATACATCAGTTAGTGTAAAGAAGTGTGGTCTCATCCTTCTGTTTCCTTCACAAGGTGATCGCAGCGGAGGGAGAGATGAACGCGTCGCGGGCCCTGAAGGAGGCGTCGCTGGTGATTGCAGAGTCTCCGTCAGCCCTGCAGCTGCGTTACCTCCAGACCCTCAACACCATCGCCGCCGAGAAGAACTCCACCATCATTTTCCCGCTGCCGCTGGAGATGATGCAGGGTTTCATAAAACGCTGAAAATCGCTCGAACGTACACACTCACACAACATACATCACTCACTCACACACACACTACTGATTTAGGCCCGGCGTCTGTTAAGCAGCTGTGTTTTAAAATTATGTTTTGGAAGTTGTGCTTGTGGCTCCCGATACACCAAGCTGTCCTTTAGAGAAAAAAAAATAAAAAATAAAAACAGTTTAAAAGCTCTTTATGGCCTTGCCATTGTTGCTTATGAACACACCTCAAAGACTGATAGCCAGCCCGCACGAACGTATGTTCTGCGTCTGTGTGAGAGGGAAGAACTGCAGTCATGATCTAAAAAAGAAAACTGCAACACAAACTAACAGACCTCTTCTAGCAAGTGGGCCTTGGGTTACTTTATTCCAAACGGCCATACTCTTTGTTTTTTAGATTCATTAGAGGGCTTAAACTTATATGCAGAAAATATGAAATGTAGCTTGCATCACATGGTGCCGTTGCTCAGATCAGTTTGTCTCTGCGCACTGATCTGTCAGCTCTCTATCATTCAGCAGTGTGCTCGGTCAGCTGAGCGGCTGCAGAGCCAACGGTGCCAGACACAGCGCAAAATCTACAGCAGTCAGCTAAGTGCGTCTGCCAAGAGCTGCCACTGGCTGAATGAATTTGGTATTGTGTATGAGATTTAACTAAAAATAGCCACAGTGCAGCAGGTGGTTTTTATCCTGTCTTTTTTATGCTGCAAATGTAGAAATCAAGGCAAGACTGTCAAAGTAAAAGCATTGTCTCATCATCCATTTTAGACATTTTAAAAAGAAAGTGCCTGCTGGATATGTGGCCTTACACACACACACACACACACACACACACACGTACATACATGATACAGATATCTAATATCTCCTGATATTGTGGTACTACTGCGACCACTGCCAGCATCGTAGTGCTCTGATTATTTTATATGTATTGTCATGATAGCCATATGAAATGTGTAATAGCTTTATTGCTAATCCCCAAATCCAAACTAAATGCTTTTTTTAGATGTTCGCTGTCCCATTGCATGTTCTCGTGTACCCCATTCCAGCTTCATCATCAAACAGGCATTTTAAGGTTCAAACATGTACCAGGACACAGTATTCACACTACTGTACTGAACCCGCTCCACTGTCACTCTTACTTTCATTGAGAGATAAACAAAAGAAATAGAAATATATTTAATACATAAACAGACTTAACTGTTTCAATTGTCAGAGGCACCAGATGGATCCAAAGCAGTGACGTAATCAGTATCACAATACGAAACCAGCGCGAGTGTTAGGCACTCATCTTTAAAAAGCCCCTTCAGAAAGTAGGGATTGTTCGGAGTGACAAACAGATAATAATACACAAACACACACACACACACACTTCTCTCTCTGTTAAATACACAAACACCTTGTCTCTGGTTGTCAGTGCTTCTGTCTCAGATTACAAGCTTAAACTTTGCTGGGATGTTGACAGTCAGGCTGACATGCTGGATGTTACTCGTATTTGTTTACAGTATATTTTCTATTTATACGCTGTCTATGTTATTCACAAGGGTGGAAGAATATTGAGGAACACCAGAGATTACTGTAGAGTTGACTCCCTCTGACACAAGCAGTCAGAGCATTATCAACTACACAGATGGTACTGTTACATTACATTACATTACAGGGCTGTCAGGTGTTCCTATTATTTTGTCCATCCCCCTGTCTGGCTTGACTGCTCAGGAGAAGTGGGGACTGTTGGGAAGAAACGTATAGCAAATCTTTCAGCCAAAAGCCTTAACTTAGTGCCATCAATTCCCTTTACAGATTTCCACATTTCTATGCACTTCCACATGAAAATAACTTTTATTTTATTTTTTTTATCACAATACATACGCTCTTTCTTGGTGTAAACAAGCCAAATAGTTGTGTCTGCTCATCTTAAAACTTTAAGATGTAGTTATATTCAGAGTGTTGGTAAATGTATGTTACAGTATTTAGAGTGTCTGTGAGTTAGTAGTTTTACTATATATGCATATATACATATATACATATACATACTCAATCGCACTACTGTGAAGTTAGCTAGTCAGTAGCTAGATGTGGGGTTTATGTTTGTCACAACTGAAGGTTTAAAGTGGCACTATTTTTTCTTTTTAGTTATGGAATACAAAGGCTGGTGTATTATTTTACTGCAGAACTCCTGTGTATTTCAGTTATTGCTGTTGACCCATATTGAGTTTGAACTGTTACAGTAAGTCTGTTACAGAAAGAAAGAAGGGGGGGGGTCACGCGACCGCATTGCATTGCAGTTCGCTGAGCAGCTTCTCGGTAATGTTTCACCAGTAGTTTGTGGTTGTTGTGTATTGTCCACTTTCTCAGGCAGCACTCAGATAATAATTTTCTTGAGCTCACTTCTCATCATTTGGCTTTCACATAAGAAAGAAAAACTCTGCTCATTAATTACTTCAGCTTATATCTAGTTGTAAAATGTTACATCAATATTGAGAAGTTCTATTCAACATGTATTGTTATGTTTAGTTTTTGTACAGTTTGCTAATATTTGATATGGTTTTATCCTGACGTAGTACATGTAGAGTTAAGATAGACTTTAAATAAAGATTCTATCAAAAAGCATGTTTGTCTGTGGATATCATTCTTTTCACATCAGTGTTGTGAGTGTAAAAACAGAGACGTAAAACACGTAACATGTTTCATCTTGTTTTATTGAAATGATAACAAGGCTTAGGGAAACCTTTAGAAAGTGTCACAGAAGACGTAACTGGGTTGTAAAGCAGCAAAGCATCGGTTTACCATTTACAGTTGGCCACTGCAGCATCAGAAAAGCTTCCTGGGCTTGAATCTGGCATTTTTTTCAAAAATAAATATAATAGGCATCTAACTAAAGGTACAAACAACTTGGCTATAAAGGCATAGTTAAACTGGAACAGTACCTTTTTAAAAAAAAAAAAAAAGCAGGTTTACTGTAAACTAGAGGAAATAGGAAATATTAAGGCATTGGTTGTATTGCTTTTGATAAGCAGTGTTTTCTTGGCAGTGAGTTTTTGCGATGTTGCAGCACACCAAGACTGTTTGTTTTCATTACATTTCACTAGTGAACAGGTTTTATTCTCAACATATAAAATAAATGAAAAGAATTGGCTTCAGTAAAAGTCATAGTAGCAGACTTTATTTAGTGCAAAACCCTACAGGATGCCTGTGTATTAAAGCTGTACTAGTTGGTTTCATAACGGATAAAAAGGCATCACTGTAGTCAATTAAACACTGCTCATTGACCTGTTTCCCTTAAAAACACAAAAGTAAGAATGAAACTCCCTGTTTTCAGGGTGTTTCAGCGGGTGTAAAAGTCTTATGATTGGAGCTCAGTGCTTGCAGCGGAGCAGTGGGGTGAAAGACTCAGGGCTGATAGTGAGGGAGGGAGGGTCACTTGAGATCTCACATGGCCAGTTCAGCCATAGCGCGCTCCAGGGGGTCGCTGGTCCAGTAGTCGTGGTCCCAGCCCAGGAACCAGCCGGTGAAGGTTGGCGGCTCAAAGCTCTGCTTGATTTTGACGATGGGCGTCCTGCGGTCTCTGTTGGCCGGATCTGTCTCGATGTAACGGACCGCTGAGGAAGATCAGAGAAAGGTTGAATTAGTGCTAGTCCTCGAGTGAACTTGAATCACAAACATGCACACTTACCATAATAACCGCAATACTGATGTTCAAAGTAATTCTGCCAGTGACACTGTAAAAATTGCTCTTTTACAAATACTGAAAATTGTTGTCAGTATAAAACAAAAGAACACCAAACTCTACCTTCAACAGTTCAACTTCAACTCTGGAAAATTACACTCTTTGTTAACATTCTCGTGTCTGTACAGGAAATATCAAGCAGGAACAGGGGACGATTATCTTAGCTTAGCATAAAGACAGGAAACGGGAAAACGGTAAGCCTGGACCTGTCCAAAAGTGAAAAATATCCGCCTACCAGCACCTCTTAATGAACACTTTACAGCTCCTCTTGTAATCTGTACAAATGGTAGGTAAACATGATGGGTGATCATGAACTATTTCTATAACTTGCTGGTGGCTGGCAACCTCACAGTCACTGCTCCCATTGAAAAAACAATCCTGCATATATCCCTCATAAAAACACAACTTGTTTCTACTCAATTTTTGCCCATGTAATTTTCCAGGATGTAGGAATAAGAAAATATTCCTTTAAGTGTCACTTTTCCTAATACTGTCTGTTTTAAATCCAATCCAATGTTTTCTTTATGTACACAATATAAATATGACATAAGGGATTTTTTTTATTTTGAATAAGCCAAAGGATGTTTAAAGGGTAAGACAAATGATATTCTTAACTCTAACTAAGTCAGTTTAGGATTGGTTTGAAATTGGTTTGAAATTTTCAAAAGAAATGGAGGGAAGAGGGAAGCAGTAGAGTCCCTTTTTCACTACTACTACTTTAAAAGGTATAAATAATTTTAGCTGTTTTTCCCCAAATCCTTACCAGACGCCATTGCTTCAGTCTTCTCTTCGTCTTGGGCCTCATTTCCGATCCAGACGAACACCTAAAAATGGGAAAGTTTTAAGCATATTTCTTTTTTTTTCTCCATTGCTGTGCTCTGAATCTGGCTAAAGCAGTCAAAGCTCTGGTTCCTTTACCTGCTCCCAAGTGTCGAGGATCATGACATCATCAGTGGCGAGGTCGTCTTGGGTTATCTCCCCGGGTACCTCTTCAATCTGAGAAGAGGAGGAGAAGGATTAAGTGGAGCTGTATTGATGTACAGTATGCAGAATGGGGTTTGGGGCATTCAGGGCACATTTACATTGTAGAGACAATGTGCTTCCTGTTCAGTCTGATTTAAAGGCTCAGTTCACTGAAAAAACAAACACAAAAAGAACATTTTTTTTTTCAAAATGAACTTGGACATTATCTCTGGAACCGCACGTTGTGAATAAGTACCATGTCTCTGCAGTATCTCAAACAAACTATCTGCAAGACCATTTAGCAGAAGGGTTGACTCTCGTGAAATGATCCTTTAAAATGAGTGCAGACTCAGGGGAAGCTCAAACCAAACACTTACAATGAAGTTTCCAGTCTTATTGGAGCAGGCGAAGAGCCTGGGTGGATGAGCGTCCATCTTGTCCTTGAGTCTAGTAGAAGTGCGATATTCAGCCTTTCCTCCCAGAGCCTCCCAGAACTGATCTGTGAAGAGGACAGACACACTTCAAGTTATTACTTTTTAATGTATTTAAACAGGAAGAAAGCGTATAAACATATAAAGTTCCATTCAGGTCAAACACAGTCAGGGTGCTGCTACTGTGCATCATGGCTCACTGGAAAGGCTCTGCTACACTAAATGGAACAGACCCTTAATTAGTATAATTGGTAACACCTATGTGTGTTTACCCTACTATTTTGTGTCAAAATGGCTGCTGTGAACAAGGTCTAACTTGGGCATAACACAGTCATTTGATCCATTGATTATTGCAGCTTTAAAGACGTGTAAAGAACATACTAAATGTATAGTTGTTCAAATAATGTGTTAAATCGTTGCCAAAGGTAACCACGCTGCCATTTACTGTGTAAATTTTGGATAAGAAAGGTTATAAACTATCAGCTTAAGCTCACAGAAATAAAAGGATGAGTTTCTGTTCTGTTGTCTTTAGCAGCCCTCAACTGAGGCCGGACCTTAAAAGCCGGCTGTTTATAAAAAATTTAATATGTTATGTTTTTGCCTGAGGTTTTATATTTGAAATTGCTAGCAGAGAATTTCTTCTCGAACTTTGAAAGCAAATCACAAGATTACTGATAACATCTAAAGGGCTGATGCAATCAAGTCTCCTTTGTTTAAATATGGATGAGCAGAAGCACTTACTTGCTAAAATACAAAAAGACAACAATTTAACTTCACATTATAGCTCTATTTTCACAGCATGGCTGCAGTTTGTAGCTTATACTGATCCAACTCTGAGTACGTTAACTGGTATTGGGTTTCAATTTGACTCAAAAGCACAAAAAAAGAGACTTTCTACTCATCGCGTTTCCTCACCAGTCTCTCCTCCCTCAGGCAGCTCGGAAGCAGACACTCCCAGGATGTCACACAGCTGCTGAACTCCCTGCTTCTCGGTGTCACTGGCACCCACTCCCACCCACATGAAGGAACCTCCGGGGGTCACCAGAAGGAAAGCATCATTGGAGTTCAGGTGGGATGACACGGCCTCAAGCTGCATGGATGCAGAGATATTGTAGGTTAAAACTCTGACCAATATACAAGAAGAAATGCCCTTTTAGTTAAAATGTCCTGTACTCTGTAGAGGACATTTCTGTTCGGTCACTTCAATCACATGAGGTGTTTTTATTTTTTAGGTGATGTATTAGGCAGCGATCAGACCGTATTATAGACTAATGTAGTTTCACAATTGTATGGTAAAGCTACAATAAAATATCAACAAGAAAATTCTAGGCTGTAACATTTGCGGGACAATGTGACAAATACGTAGAGAAAATTGTGATTTTGGCATATTTTAGCAAAAAATACACTACTACTAAAATGTATATACTAAGCTATTTTGTATATTACCTTAGATTAATGTGTTGAGTCAAGAGCAATCTACTGCAGCCTTCAACATCATTTTAAATTTTTACACGACATGACAAGTTTTAAAAAACAAAAAAATAAAAGGGAAACCACCAAAAAGTCTTGATGGCCAATTGCTCTGTTGCTGTAGAATACTTATAGAGAGTTTTGGAAGACTTTGTTTTACAACAAAAGCAAAGTGTTTTTTTCATATTCATATTAGATATTTAATGATAAGGCTTGTGTTATTCTATATTTTTCTTACTGTCAAAAAATTCCCAAATGTCAAAATGTCACTCAGTCCCAAGCCCAATAGATACAACTGAACACTATATAGTTTCATTGTTTTTAACAAGGCTCATTCCCTACAACAGCTGGGCATTATAGTTTTAGCAAACGTTACTGAAACAATACTGAAAATAGTGCATTTGTTGGGGACTATTTTCAGCAGTGAGTTGTCTGGCGGCAGTTTGGTGTATGTGTGACTCAAAATAAACTACAGTGGTAGCAGTGTTCTTTACAATGAAGTGCAACAGTGTGGCTCATTAACATGTTTTTAATAGTTTTTGTAGCTCTATAGCACAGAGGAATACGATATGTCAGGCTTTGGATACACACACACAATACTTGTTACTAGGCTCATTGTTAGTTTTGGAAAAATATAGATTACCACCAGACTTATCCTTTAAAATCATCTCTTGCAGTGGTAAAGTTAGAAAGTTAATGAGGCGTGTTCTCTTACCTCCACAGCTCTGGTGTGTCCTGCAGAGTTGGAGCGCACCTGGAAGAGTCGAGTCTCTGCGGGAGCGGACTGACCTCCATCTCTGGACGTTCCTCCCTTGTACACCACCATGGGCTGTCCTCCAAACAGACTCATCAGGTGGGCCGGCTCTTTCCCCTGCATCACCCTCACCTGGTACGCAAATGTCGAAATTAAAATGGAGAATGACACTGTGAATTATCCAAAGGTGGTGCAACTAAATCACACCAGACAGATCTTCCCTTGTTGTGTCTTGTGAAATATGCATGTGACAAATGTCTGCTGC